TTACACGGAAATTGTTTTCGAAACGTTTGCCAAATTACCGTCTAGACGAATAAATGGGACATTTCGAAGTACATTCAGTCAGAATTAATTGCAATTTTTATATCTTCGAAAAGATTGACTTTCAGTCGGAATTAATTGCTCAAGTTTGATTTTTAACTCAATGTTGAGTTGATACTGGTGTCAGTTATCAACTTGATATCAATTCGAGAAGAAGTAAATAACATTTTGTCTCCCAGAGAATCAAGTTTAAACTATTTGAGCTACACGCTCTTTCAATATCATATCATACCTTTTCTTGTCCAGCGATAATGAGACTATTTTGTGAAACCCGACGGGTGTTTAGTCTTCTTGGATTGAATTTACATGATTCACATACAACTTCCATCAAAAATGTGTGCTATAAAAACACAGTGTTGATTTGTGTCGCGTTGATGCCAGCGTCAACTCTCAGTTACTTATTGTACGGTTCAAAGGATGTGAACGAATTTTTTGAATGTGCTTATGTGTTTGTGAGCTCATTAACGGTAACCGGTTGCTTTGTGGCCCTTTGGTGGGAAGAACATAATCTTTTCAAATTTATCGGCGATATTGAGGCTATGACATCAAAAAGTAAAATTACTGTATTTGAATTCTAATGCAAATTATCGTAGTTTAGTCTGAAGACGTAAATTGGAAAACTTTATTGATCCGAGAAAATGAAGTAATATAGTGAGAAAATTCAGTCACTTTCCATGTTTTTAAGGAATGGATTTACCGCTAGTTCAGCCGTCATACATTGGAATCATGTCGAAGCTTGAACACCGGGTGAAAATGATATCCGCAGTCATGTTCAAGAGATTTGTTCCATATTTGGCAATGATTAGTGCCATCGAAACAATTTGGAGCCAGATTTATGGGGAAAATCCAATTTGGCAGTTGATTTACCATGTGTCGTAAGTAATGCGAGAAAGTTTAGAAAATTTAAGTGAAATATTTTTAGAAAAAAGTATTGAACTCGTCTTTCCTATCGAAATAGGTTGCCTTTTGATTGGAAGAAACCTTTACCATACCTCCTACTAATGATTAGTCAGATATGTTCCGCATTTTTTGTTCAAGCCGTTTATATTGCAACATCTTCGCTCTATGCGGGTGTTTGCTTCATTTCATCGGCATTTAATGTGGATATTCGCATACATTTACGTCATATAAATCGCATTGCTATTGCTAAGAAACGGGTTGGTCCCAGATTAAAGACTGACACAAGAAGAAAACTGTTCCGACGGACTGAAAGTAAGAGAAGAATTGACCAACAGGTTGAAATGAGACGAAAATTGCTTGAAATAATTGAATTTCACGCAAATTCCAGGCAGTGGGTATTATTTGCAGTAGAATATATCCATTTTAATCCAGCCAATAATCGATTTTATTCCTTTTCTTTTCCTTTCGTTCTGTTTTTTTATCTTTTATTTTCGTTGTTCAAAAACCCTAAAATTCCAGAATTCCCACTGACTTCTACGGCCACATAATTTTCATAAATTTGACTGGTTCGATGATCATTAACAGTTTAATGTTGATGCAGATAACTGTTGTAAGATTTCATTCAATTATCATTTCGAGTCAAGAACAAATCTGAATAATTTAACAATTCTTTTTGCTCCTGTCGTTCATTGAAATCAGCTGACAGGATCGGACCTACAGTTGGAAATCGCTCGACCAATTGCAAATTGGATGATATTTAGTGGATGGATATTCATATTTTGTTACTTTGGTCAAAGGGTCACAAATGAGGGCGAATCAGTTGGCAACAGAGTTTATCAATGTCAGTGGTATTTATTTCCGATTGAAGTGCGAAAAAAACTGCCACTCATGTTGGCCATCACACAAAGTCCCATACACATGCAAGGATTTTTTAACATTCAATGCTCTTTGAATCATTTTACCAAGGTATTTTTATAGCCACACTTGATCAAATTTTAGAATTCGTTCTAAAAAAGTCTTTTCTTAAAACTTTCTAGATTTGCAAGGCAACGTATTCGTACTACAGTGTTTTACGGCAAATAAACCAGTGAACTGGGAGTTCGATTTCACAGCGCTTTATAGAGTATATTCAATGAATACTATTCATATCGTCAAAATCTGTTCTATATTCAAAAATACGTTCTATATGTTTCAATTAGGTGGATAATTACTAATTATTAATTGGGATGTCTCCTTGAAAATTGAGAATAAAACGTTACATTACATTTCTTGAAATATTCAACCGAAAAAAATTAAATTCACATAAAATTTCTATGATTTGGATGAGGTGAAATCGGAAGTAAAGATTGAAAAGGTTAAGGCAAATCAACTTCCACGAAAGGACTCTGGCGAAAATGAAATGCTACAAAACGATGCGAACAAGCGTTTCCCGAAACCGGAATCAACCCGAGTAGCAAATTTCCCCTTTTCCTCGGTTGCAATTGGGTTACTATAACTTGAATACAACTCCAAAGTTGTTGCAAGCCGATCTTTGCAACGTCACAATAACCGAATTGTAAGCTGTTATAATTCGGTAATAATTCAATTTTAGTTGTGTTATTATATCGTTGCAATAGCCATACACATAAATCGCATACGGCACTTGACTTTGTGAACACAAAAATTACAAATCGCACACAAAAAATGACAATTTCCATACAAAAATGACAAATGCTACGCGCTTGGAAACCCAGGCAGCCCTATGTACCATACGCAGAGTGGTGGAAAAGGAATCGCGCGGCACCTGGGCTGCTATAGGGGAATTTCGGTATGCCTGCATATATTTATAATATAACAGTAAACCACAACATAGAAATTATAAAATTATATTTATAAGTTATATATGAAATGTTGATGGAAATAGCTTTTTTGAGAAAAACATAGTCAGCTCAAATGATAAATATCCATGCAAATTCATCTTCAACTCTCTTTCAACTGATTTCTTCATCTTTTACATTATAATAAAAGTATAACAAAAGATAGAGAGAGAGATACATTCATGAAGTACTCTACCTTTATCAGAGCAAAGATAGGGTCGACACGAGAACGTAGTAATATGTTGAAAAATACCCAATGTGCATGTTCGACAGAAATGGTCAAGTGTACACCAACATACAGGGCATTACTATCCCTCCGACAAGATGTCGCTAATGGTATACGTTCTTACTGCGACCGTGATCATTGTAAACGATTGTAAATTACAATTTGTAATGGACCATCACTAATGGTATCATCTGTTTGAAACCACTTCTTCATTTTTTATTCCATTATAAAAACATTTCACCGTTAACATATTTTAACATAAGTTCAAGTTATATAATTTGTGTCCAAATTGTCATTTTCGTTTTGTCTCTTTCGTGTCTACTTTGTCATTTTTGTATGGGAATTGTCTTTTTGTGTGCAATTTGTCATTTTTTGTGTCCACAGAGTCGAGTGCCTATCCAGTAATATCCAACAGCAATTGTTCGAAATGTTGTTGTTGGCTATTTTAACCTTTGTTCGTCTTTCGGTTTTGCAACATATTCCCGTCTCTTGGGGCATACAGTTCCCCTGTAACATGTGTATTTTATATGAAAACTGGACTGTAATAAGAGATAATGATTTGGTCTCTTCAGCAAAGTTATAGTACTCTATCCGCTCTACAACTTTACAGAAGTTATATTATACTATCGCGTTATCTCTTATCAGTTCCACAAAAAACGCGAAAAAACGCGAAAACGCGAATAATCGCTACCTCATTTTTAACGGATTTAATTAAAGATATGAGATATCCGATTTCAGCAAAGTTGTAGAGTAGGTTGAGTACTACAATTTTTCTGAAGACATAATTTCGTTATCTCTTATCAGTATCTTATATACCAAAATGCACAGAATGGTTTCCAATAATAATCAGAAAATATATTTTGTTTGATCAGGAAATAAAATTTATTAAAGGTGCTAATTTCCAAATTTTTCTGATCATATTAGGTTTTTTTCTGATCAAATTAATAAAAAAAGTTTCTTATCATTTTGAATATTCTTCTGATCATTTTTGATATTTTTGTGGTAATTCTTCATATGTTCGGATCATAATTAATTAATCCAAATCTTGTTAGCACTACATGGAATGTAGGCTACTGCAGTGATTTATTTTACGAGAAAATTCTAAGACACTTTAGGCCATTTTTTTGGACCGTAAACTAATTCATTTTAACGTCCATATTTTTTATTTCAAATTAAGCAATTACGCCTAATTGGAAAAATGAAATAATATCATGTTCATGTAATTCAATTTTGAGATAACTCAAAAAAAAATTTACACTTTTTTCGTTGCCAATGTGAAATAATGTACGATGACCGTTCACATTGAACGTACAATGTACATTGTACATAAAACAAATAAGTGAAGAATACAATATCATCATATGAACTTATTCAATTATTTTTGACAATATTAAAATGACTTATAACTAAAACTTGTGAAACAGACATTTCCAACGATTAAAACTACATTCCATGTAGTGCTTACGATAGTAATTTGATGAGAAACATCAAATTAATTAAACCTCTTAAATTTACAAGCTTCTTACGGTCTTGTTTTTTGGATGATTTCGCTTCTGTTTTATATCACTTCACTGAGTGAAGTTCACTCATCTGCATCGTCTTATTTGAAACTAAATCTTTTGCCAACTATTCGGAGGCCAAAGACGATCAGAGAAAGTCATTTCAGGTCTTTGAAACACTAAAGCAATTTGATTTACTTTTATTCATAAAAATACGGCGATATTAAGCATTATAGATAGAAATAGATGAGAACATCCATTCAAAGTCGGCCAAGAAAGAAATGTTGGCAAAATTTGTTATCAAATGGCTGTTGTGTTGCATGCAATCGTTTATTATGTATATACATATTGGTTTCAAAATTCGATTATCTAATCAAAGAATGCATCTGATAAAATTGAAAAAGATAACAACGGCTATGAGTCTTATTAAACGCTGTTTTTATTATTCAGTAATCAGATACGAATTTTAAATTAATAAGTGAAGTCACAAACAATTTTTATTGTAAAAAACATCAATCTCATCCCAAGCTTTATTCAGTAAATTGCGTCAAAAATTGTAGTTTGTTTTGATAGCAATAATTGGTTAAATTGTTCAAAATATTTGGCTTCAGATAATTATTATTGTGTTTTTTTTTTCAATTGAAGAAACAATGAGTGGAGTTTTGGATTTGATGTGGCAACGTCCAAACTCTTCAGAATTCCCCAAAATATGGAGAACTTTCAAAGTGAAAGACTTGGAGAGCGATGCGTTTGTAGAATATCAAATCCAAGATTTGCCAGAATCTAGATCCGAGGAGGCTGTGGAATTTATGATCAAAATTTTCTGTTCAGACGAACCGCTAACAGAGGCACACGGTAACTGATTAACTGAGCAATATATTTGCTGCACGGAAACATTAAATTGATTCTATTAAATATGAGTTAGAGGGGACCAAAGATGCCAATGCCATTGAGTACTTTCGACTAATATGGAAATCATTGTTGATGCAAAAAATGACCTTGGCCTGTTTCGAATATGGATCCGATGAAATTGTTGGTATAAGTGTGAACTACGTAAAATGCAAGGGAGACACATTCTGGGAAGAACTTGATCGAAAAGTTGGTTGAAACAAAAACAACCTAAAATTGTCCCTACAATATTTATACTACTCTGTTTTAGATTAGAAGCGAAAGCACCGACAGAATATCGGAGCTAATGTCATTATTATGTGAAAAATTCGATCCATTCAAGCAATATGCAGTTGACATGTACTTGGATACACAAGCCATTGCCATAAAGAAAAAATACCGCGGCCGTGGCATTGCTGAACATTTTCTGAGATGTAGCAAATTCATTTGTAAAGAGTTCAAAATAAAACTTACATCAACCATTTTCACATCGGATTTTTCGAATCGAATCGCTGATAAAAATGGATTCAAGCTTGACAAAATTATTAGGTAAATTTGCAAAAAAATGAAACTCTTTAATCATATGTATGTCATTTTCTAATTTAATTGTAGATATGAAGACATTCGTAATGCATATCCAAATCTTAATGTTCCGCACATCAACAGCAGTGCAATGACAATTAAGTCAATATTTTTCGATGATATCTAATTGATATGTACATAGATGTATAATGTATATAGGATGTCGTAAATTACGACTCCGTAATATTGCCTCACAAACCAAATTTGTTATGTTCAAACAGCAATAATTTGAGATTGCATGAGAATTAATATGTTTCATAAAAATCTCAAGCACGCAAATAATCTTATATGATTATCACTCATGGACTAGCTCAGATAAGATTTGATCAGACCCACATAAACAATTTATTGTTTGTATTATACTTCACATAATAATTAACTGCTCTTTTGCTCGCGCTGTTATATTTCCACGCATATTGTTGCCTTGCAAGCTTCTCACGAAAAGCCACTCGATACAATTTCGATTGTAAATAACATTATACACCGAGAGATACCTGCGTCTATAAACAGTGAAGTTTAAATTACCAAGATTTCTGAGTATTTTACTGATACTTATCATGGAATTTCGTCAAAATATTGACATTGAGAAAGACTACGTGCATTCTACACGCCTTTGCATACAAATGAGACTTTCAAGAGACATCATACGATTATTACTGGAAATATAATTTGTTCCCGTAGAGAACATTCAAATCGATTTCAATGCCATTTTGATCCAGTACACATGTTCCAAATTATATTTTGATGTAGATGGTAATGAAATGTACATTTCATACCTATTTCGCCTGGAAAGACAACGATTTAATGAGATGAATATTCAAATCTTGGAAGATTTGCCGAAATGACTTTGGGCAGGGCGATTTTAATTGTAGATTTTATGTAGTTTTATGTAGTGTATTTACTTTTATGTAGGAACAATTTTTTCGAGCAATCGGCTGTCGAAAAACTGCTATAAAATAGAACAACTCAAATCTTGGTCAAAAAACGTATTTTCCACAAATCGAATTTTTTTTCCGAATGAAGAATGATCCCAAAAAATTGTAGATAAACTGTAGAATTCAAATCAATTGTCTGTTTTCGAATATGTCTGCCCGTTCGTTCGATATCGTGACGAGTCTCGAAAATTGGTCCAAAATCGGTAAAACTCAAATCTTGGCCACAAATTGAAATTTCCACAAACTGAATCTTCCTCTATTGTTGCTAGGTTCCATAAAATTGTAGAAAAAATGAAGAATTCAAATCAGTCATCCGATTCTTGATGTTTGAACAACTTATTTGGCTCCAGGAGAGTTTATCATTTAATATATGGGAATAAAACTGCTATAAACTGCAATAAAATGTGTTTTAATAATTGTAGTAACCAAGAAATAATTGTAGTGGCTTGAAAATAATTGAAGAAGAACCTACGGCTACTGTAGTGGTCGAAAATAATTGTAGCGGCCCGAAAATAATTGTAGAAGTATCTACGGCTACTGTAGTGGTCGGACATTAAGTTGAAAGTAATCACATGGGTATATACATTTAATACACTATAGTGATTGATATATCAATCGGACATTTCTGAGGGTCCTGAACGGACGGAAGGACGGACAACTAAATTTAGGGGGCTCTGAACGCACGGACAAAAAATTACGTTTTGTCCGTGTCCGTCGAAAAAAATTTCATTGATTTTTGACGTGAAAATAGGTTTGAGCTGTTTCAAATGGGAAGCTAGTTACAAATCAGTTACTAAAATTTTTTTGTTGAATTTTTTGCGTCAAAAATCAATGAAAAACGAAATTTTTTTTCCGTCCGTCTGTCCGCCAGAAATTTTGTTGTCCGTTCAGGAACCTCGGAAAGTAGACTGAACCTGGATACTGGAGATTTTGCATTGACGTTTCCGACTGTAAACATGACATCAATTCATACGCGTGTGCTGTCAAAGTCACTTTGTCATGCGTCATTCACATTAATGCTTTGACTGATTGTGGTGAACAGTGGTGAGATTGGAAACGCCATACATTTTATATACATTATTTGTTTGGGAATTATATTCATTTATTTTCTTTTATTGTTGATATTCGGGCTCTGCAAAGCCTAGGCTTCATCCACGATTTGTTTTCCAAAGAAATATTTCGAAAAAATCGTGAGTTTGCACTGTCAACACTTGTGTGGTTTTTCATATGATTTTGAAGTCATCGAATATTGCCACCCGTTCACACATCCAATGAACTTGCTACACCAAGTGATAGTTTAGTTCATTGGTGATGTTTTTCAATCCGCCATACGTTTTTATATGTGTGTGTACATCGAAATGTCAAAGTTGTCAAGAATGCAACCGTTCTCCTCGTTCTTTTGTTGTCCGTCCGTTCAGGTGAAGTTTAAATTAATGTCCGCAGGTTCAGGACCCTCGTGAATTTCCTTGTCCGTCCGTCCGTCCGTTCAGCGTTGATCGGACGGACAGACGGACAAGAAAATTTCTAGCGGCTCTGAACGGACGGACGGACAAAAAAAATTTCAAGAGCCCTGGGCGGACGGACGGACGGGCTAAAAAGACGGACAGTCCGTCCACTTGACACCTTTATTTAGTATACGGTTCATCAAGGCTGATATCATTTTGAGTGACGCTAGGACGCTGTATTATCTCTGGATACGAAGTTCAAAAGTGTTTTTTGCATTCACTATAGCGATTATCCAATATATTGTTGAAATCTATTCACAATGAGAAAAAATATGGTGTCATGACTTTTAGGCGGCAAAACGCTTAAAAGCTTGACTTGAAAACTACATTCAAAATTTGTGACAAGATGTCTTTGTTGACAAATGAGGGCCAAAATTGTAATTGATTTTCGAAATTCATTTGTTCGTCAGAATATAATTGCATCGTTTCATAGTTGTCAACGAGCCTTTCGTGATCCTGCTCGTTCCAGAGCCATGAAACCGAACTGTCAAACTACAACGGGGACCGCGTAGTCGGTTGTCATTCGTTGCGGAACGCGCTAAAAGTATGCATAAGTACATGAGTACATATTTCAAGCATTCTGGTTAAAAAATATTTCAATTATTTATAAAAATATACCTAGTGTATTAATATGAAAACCCATTTTTAATAACATTTTAGAAACGTTTGAAAAAATACCGAAAAAGAATATGAACTTTCTTTTTTTTTGCTCAGAAATTCTTTGCTAACATTTTTCTTGTTTTTGATTGACAAAGTGAGGTTAAGTATCTACTGACATGTTCAATGTGTAGAACAAATTTGTGCACTCGGTGGAACAAAGCCATTGTGTGTTTAAGGAGCCACTTTATTCCCATGGCTCCTGAAACACATTTTCAAGCTCACTTTGTAGGAAGCGAACGTAAAAAATGAGAAAATTGAATTAATTGATTTCAAAATTCATTTGAACATCAGCAAATCTAAAGAAAACTTAGATAAATATGTTCATGTTGGAAACATTTTTCTAAATTTGATAATGTGGATGTGTCATCCAAATCATTCATTGCATTTAAATAGGAAATAAAGAAACAACATAATTTTACACAAATATTCATTTTCCACTTGATTTTATCATTTTTATTCACTCCATGAATAATATACGTTCACGAAAATACGTTGTCTTTTTCAATAGTTCAAATTCAACGAGTCGTTCTACGAAGGTGCACTTAAGACTGTCTGGCGTGTATTTAATTTGTACTTTATTCTGACAGCCGCGTTGTAATTGATGATGACAGTTCGGTTTCGCCCCTCTGGCTCGTTCACTTTCGAACGAACATTTTTTTTAAATTGGCTGACGCGAACGAATTTTTTTCTCCCAAAATGAACGAACGAACACGAGCCGAACACCCCCAAATAAGTACGAACGAACGCAATTGTGAGCGCCTGATTTTTGCAACGAACGAATTCGGCGCCTAACAAACTCATTTGTTGACAACTATTATCACATCGACAGTATTTTACCATTAGCAGTAAAAATGTATTTTACTTTTCCGTACACACCGTGTCAGCAGCGTACCCAGAAAGGATGGGTGCAAAATCGATTTTTTTTTTGTTCATTTTTTTCCTTATGGTGCAACAAAAATTTTGTTGCACCTTTGAAATTTTCGGAGGGTGCAATGCACCCATTGCACAGGCCTGGGTACGGCGCTGCACCGTGTCAAGGGAAAGTATAGGAATTGGTCCCGAAAACTTTTTTCGCAAAATTGGTTTAGATCATCATAAAAACTCATGAAACGCGTAGAAAACCACTTTTTGAGACACTTTTCCGTTCGTGTGCCGTCGTCGTCGTCGTTGGTGTTGGTGTTTGTTAACACGATAACTTAAAAAATAATTGAGATAATCAAAATCTGGAAATGCCAAAAGTTTTGTATCCGATAAACTTAGTTTAAGTTCGAAGATGAGCCATTTTCGATTTGATCCTGGGGTACTTGCCCCAAGAAAAACCTCGAAAAATTGACACTTTTGTATGGGAGGTACCCGTAAATCGACTTCGATTAGATTCAAACTTTCTGGGATTTCATTTTTTGGGAGAAAAATGAGATTCTGAAAGTTTGAAGTCAATCGGAGTCGATTTACGCATACCTCTCATACAAAATTGTCGAAATTTCGACTAAAATTACCGTTTTTTTGTAAATCGATTCTTATTGGCTTCAAACTTTCTTTTTGGAGAAAAAATAAGATTCTGAAAGTTTCATGTTGATCGCATTTGCAGGAGTTTGATTTTTTGTCCTTAGAAAGTTTTAAGCCAATAGGAATCGATTTACGGGTACCTCTCATACGAAATTGTCGAAGTTTTGACTAAAGTGACCGATTTTTCAAGAATATTTAAAAAAATCCAAAAATACGGCCAACGGTACGGAAAAGTTTGGGATTACGAATGTAATTCTTTTTATTTACAAGACATTTTCCAACATTTTCCTCATTTATAATGAGAAATTTCTTCAGATGAAAAATTCATAAGTGACTTATCAGCAATGGCCGCATATACATAAATGGCTAATTGGTTGTTCGGCGTTTAGATTGTCATGTACATTAAATTGTAAATTCCTAGGGGTTTCACGCAACTTAAAATTCATCTAAAATTTCAATATTTCTCTCTTTTCTCTCACATTCTCTGGGATTCACCAAAATCCGTATTATTTCGAAATATTTCAACATTCACCTTGAAAATTATGTTCTGGAAGTGAGTTTTGGAGGATCCTCAGGATCTTTCAAAACTGCTCCCGGTTCTGGAAGTGGGTTTTGGCGGATCTTCAGGATGGATCAGACTAGATTTGACAATGCCCTGGTCCATCCTGAGGACCCACTTCCAGAACCAGGAGCGGTTTTGAACAATCCTGAGGATCCACCAAAACCCATCTCCAGAATTTTTGGATTCAAAAAATTCTAAAAAATTCGAGTTTATGAATAAAAAGAAGCAATATCAATAGTTTACACATAAAATGGTTTTATTTCCAGCTATTTAGTAAAATCTTCGGCCTTCGAGTTTGCGTGAAACCCCTAGGTAAATTCTCTTTTATAAATCAAAAGTACAGAAATCGATTGGACCTTGCTCCATTATACTCAAATATCCAGTTAATGCTACAAAATAATGACAAGACTGTGTCAGATGTATATTTCTCTTTACTAGTATCACAAATTTTCACGACGAACATTTTATTTGTGTTTCTTTTTATCTTTTTACGATCTAGAAGAGAAAGAAAATAAAATTTAAAAAAATTCCAAGAGGAACCAAAAAAAGACGAAAATGGCTATCCTAACTGTCGTTCAAAAGCATTTCATAATTTTGGGCGTTTTTCCATTGCCGGATAAGTATTTTCCAATCAAATTACAAAAGTATCAATCGGAAATTAATTGCGCACATATTGTGTTTATAATCTTTTGGTTGACGTGTTACTTTTCTTCATCGTTATACTTTTTACTATTCAAAGCAAAAACTTTTGCACAATACTCCGAAGGAATACTGTTTTGTACATTAACACCAATGCGTTTCGCATTGTATATTATTTTGGTACACAAAAAATCGATACTACGTGGTCTTGCAAAGGAATTTGAAGTGATCAGCGAAAAAAGTACGCCAATTTTTTTTTCCATAAATCAGCCATTAAATTGAAATAAATTACTGGTGCAACTAGTGTTAAGCTTATAATTTGTTCCAGCTAAAGCTATAAGTTATATATAACAAGTTCAATGTGACTGTCATGATTGAATCGTTGCGACAAGAAAATTCCTTCAGATTACAACAACAACTCTATACCAAAAAAATGTTATGTTGCACTTTAAAAATAAAATATTCTAAGGGATTTTTTTTGTCACAACGTTTCAATTTATGATATTTAAATCAATAAAGCAAAGTTGCTTTTCAAGTCTATTCATAATCATAATATTAATCGTTTTATCGTTTTTCAATCATAGGAAGTACTAATCTGAATATTCGCATAATTTATGCAAAAAAAATTGAAATGGCTGAAAGACGCGCAAAGATAATTTGGAACAGTTTGACCACAATTGCTATATTCGCTGCATCAATGAAATTTGTTACATCATTCGTCAAATACTATGTGTCGAATCTCTCCGAAGAATCTTTTGAACTGATTTTTTCATCCGAGTAATTTACATTTTTTTAATGCATTCAACTTTATTTGCATTTTCTGCAATGTCTCTGCCATTTATTTACATCTACAGAATACCATGGAATTGGAAAGAACCAATTGGATATTTGGTCGCAGGATGCGTGCAATTTACTTGGTTTTATGGAGGCATCTATATAGTCATTTGTACTATGTTGTGCTTTGTTGGATTTTGTACGTTGTTTGAAGCCTTTACATTGGACATTGGAAGAAACTTACTGGATCTGAATGATAATATCGTTGAGGCTCATGGACATTTTAAATCGGAGCGTCGAATCGAATTGTACCAACAGTTTTCGAAAATTATACAGTTTCATTCGATCGCAAGGGAGTAAGTGTACTTGAATAGTAGCCATCATCATTCATCAGTTTTCAATGTGTAACTAATATTATTTTACAATTGTTCATCATCAGTTTCGTCGACCGCTTCTCAACCGCATACAGTTTAATTCTATTGATTTTCTTCGGACTAGCAACAACTTGCATTTGCGCTTCTCTTTTGAGCCTCAATTCGGTAAGCTAATACGTATTGCTGCACTACATGAAATGGCATATATCACATAAATTTATGGTTTATATTATTTGAAGGCATTTGATGCGCAGCATTTTGTCGACATCCTACGCCTAGTCATATATCTTTTCTTTATGACGACCTATATTGCTTTCCTTTGCTATTTTGGGGACGAAGTACATACCAGATTTGAAACAATCAATTACTCAATTTATCAATGCTGTTGGTATGAATTCCCATTGGAAATGCAGAAGCTACAGATAACAATGTTGAACGTGGCTCAAAAACCGGTCTATGTCCGGGGATACATGAATACACGATGCACTCGCGATGTACTTCAAACGGTGAGTTCTTTTTGTACTTTTTTCAAACAAAAACTCGTTTTTAATCTCCCATGTTTTGCTACAGATTATAAACGCTGCGTTCTCCTACTTTTCAATACTACGCGGTGTCAGCCAATAACTCATCTTAGATGAAGGAAGATTGACAACATTGCGACTAAGTAATCATCGGAGAATTTCAACCTGAACTTTTCAAACTAATTGCTAGTGCCCTGAATTTCACCTAGAATTTTATCAGCAGTGCTGATTCAGCACTTAATAGCACTCACCAAATGTATTATCTATTTTTTTCTTATGGTACACTAGTAGACTTAACATATGATGGAAATATCGCCGAAGTACTTGTATTTTGTTATGTGAAATTAGAAGCTAAATGAAAGAATCTTTTGTATGCACAATGCACATACATATTATGCAAACTAAATTAGTTAAAAGAAAACCAGTTTTTAACTGTTTCAATGTAACAAATACATATATAATTTATTTCAATTAAAGCATGTTGAACATGATATCATAGATAGCACTTTATATGGAATAAATTGTTTTTCTTATGGCCACTTATTTGCAAAGTTTATCTATTCATCCAATTGAAAAAATGACTGACTGACTATAGCTTCAGTTGACTTAAGTTGATTGAATTTATGTTTTTTTCGAGGGGCAAATCACTCATTTTGCAATTACTTCCCAAAAGTTGCAATTACCCTTTTTTCAGCAATTACCTCAAAATTTACAATTACTTTCCATAAACAAGTAATTGCAACCGACCAGTAATTGTTGAAAAATGGAGTAATTGCAACTTTTGGGAAGTAATTGCAAAAAGAGTGATTTGCCCCTCTTTCATTTAGTGAAAAATGACTCGGTTTTTGTGCTAAGAAAATCACTTTGACCCAAATTACGCAAATTACATTGACTTGTAACTTCAAATGATTTCAGATAACTATGATAGACTTACACTACACTTTGTACTGAAATGTCAATTAAAGAAAGTCATTTTTGTTCGAAATCAGTTAACTGACTGGTCAGTTACAATATTCGCACACGGGGCTAAATCTTTTTCTTGTGAATAAGGCTCATAGCCTCTACTTATATATGACTGCACGGAAAATAACAAACTATCAACATATTCACATATTAATAATGGAGAAAACCTGATTTGTTGATACTAATATGTTATGCTATTACCGATGTTAACAGAAACATTAAACTATAACATAACATAATTTACAAATTTAAAAAAAGTTCCATGTGAAATACACGTCAGTTTTTGCCAGACAAGAAAATCTCGAAGACAAATTCGCCTGGCAAAAACTGACTTGTACATGGAACATTTTTTTAAAACCAATTGCAAAACATGTCAATAGCCATTGCAATTTAATAATATTATTTCAAAAGAATTTTAAATTGTTAACCTTAATCCCGTGTACAAACTTCAAATATAAATACAAGTACGAAAATAAAAAAAAATCATCATAAATATGCTACCATTCGATAGCTTGAAACTTCAGCTACACACAAGTGAAATTTCGTGTTGACATGTGTAAGCGTGTATGGAGAAAGTAAATGTGTGGCGCTGTCACTATAAATCCGTGTATGGGGCCTACAACGCCCGTAGTGCATTTTGTTCGAAAACTGTACTAAGATAAGTGATGACGACTTGATGTCTTTGGCAAAGTTGTACAACAGGTTGAGAACTACATTTTTTCCGAAGACATCATTTCGTTATCTCTTATCAGTTTAGTGAAAAATGATAAGGGAAATATCGCGTTTTCCGCGGTTTCTCGCGGATTTCACGTAACTGATAAGAGATACCGACTTTATGTCTTCAACAAAGTTGTAGTGCTCAAGGTTCCCAACAACTTCGCCAAAAATACCATATATTATTTATCTCTTATCACAGTCCAGTTTTCATAAAAAATGTGCTTGGGGCGCTGTTCACCCCAATACACGAAAATATGGTGTGAAACACATACACGGAGTGAAGGTTAACGTATCGCAAAAGGTGCAGCTATATTCCTATGCAAAGGTTGTTCAAACATTTGAATGTTATATATGAGGCTGTGAGAATGAAAATGGCAATACAGGAATAAACATTCTGAAGCGCATCAAGAAAAAAAAATTCGCAAAAGTGACTCATGAGTTCTGAATACGCAAAAGTGAAACATGAACCTCCTATGCTGCCCATGTAAATTCATGTTTCACTTTTGCATATTCAGAACTCATGATTCATTTTTGCGAATTTTTTTTCTTGATGCGTTTCAGAATGTTTATTCTTGTATTGCCATTTTCATTCTCACAGCCTCATATATTAATATTATAATTATAATAAAAAGAAAAAAAATCATTCTCATTTTCGAAATAGAACGTAGAACAGTGACCATCATGAGAGTTAGCCTCCAAAACTACGTAGCATCATGAAATATGAAAATGCGCCATTTATAACCTGTCGTTAGAAAAATATAGCATAAGCCGGTTAAATACATTGTTGAATCTAAATTAAGCTATAGAAGTTACTCACATTTTTGAGAACCTCCCGAGTGCATTTTGTGTTCATAAAACCTCGAATATAAACTGGCTTCTGTGCAATCAAAAACATAATCATAATATATTTTTGCACTTCCAATGGGAGCACATTCCAAGAAGTTTGGCCAATCGAATTATTGATTAGTTCAAGTCTCGAAGTGACATCGTCACCGAAGAGACACAGTACACAAATGTAAATTAATGAAACCACAAGGGGCATTGTCGATTTCACCACTTTAATAACACCTTCGATATTGGAAACATCGGCCTATTCAGTGAATTCACACATATAGAAAGAATAATAATTATAATTATTATTATAAATAATTTTTTGTGGAAGAAGAAATTAAATGAAATTGAAATTTACTCCATTCAACCCCAAAAGAGCTGTACAAATTACAACAGTTGAAATTACGAAAAAAATCCATATGATGACATGGAACATACCAAAACATCTATCGATGAACCTAAGTGGATGAATTAATCAATTACTAAATGTTTACCATGACATTTTTGTTTTGAATAACTCTTTGACATCCGAATGAATCTGCAAAAGATCGGTTAGTTTTCTCATGATTTCAATGCGGCTTTTGTTGGAATAATTTCCGTTAGCTCTGACAATTTCATGATTTATATGCTCTAATAATGCGTTAATATCCAAAGCAAATGCGCCAAATAAAAGGGAAAATCCAGTGTAAAGTATCAAAGTGCTGATAACTATATAAATGCCAGCCATCGTCCAAACATACTGAATGGAAATGGACATTAAGTATCCAAAAGGTGTTAAGTTCCAATCCCATGGAAATCTGGAAATCATTTCAAATATTTTCTTTTTAATAAAAAAATTCTCAAGTATTCAACAGAGATTCGATTACGTTGATACAAAGGCTAACTGAAATGATTCATTCGAGTAATTCGATGTATAATACCGAACGAATGATGCCAACCCATTTGGAATTACAAACAATTGAACACAAATAAAATTAACGTTCCAAAGTAACTTTGAAAATTTCTCCGATTTTTCAATTTTCGTCTCATAAATTGAACGAACAATTGACTTTCGGCATCCTATTAAAATTTTAATATAGATCAAAAAATTCAAATGCAATATTATCTACTCAATTGTATGGACGGAATCGTTTTTAGATTGACTTACTTCTTTCGATTACCCTATCCAAATCGTACATAAGGTTGAACAGTTCAGCCCGTTTCCATAGTAAAATTGCATATAAAGCAAGGTGCAAAATAGTAACCGAATTAAAAAATATCGCTTCCGAATAGTCTGAAAATGTTTTTGCCTCAAAAATTGTAAAGTATTGCACTGCATTTGCGTAGGTCACCAGTAAAACGAACATAAAAATTGTGTGGATGCGATTGATTAAAAATCGGTATTTTCGTACAGTCATCGGGATAATTTCGCTGGGCATTGGCATAATGCCGAGCACCATAAAATGTCTTTTCACTGTGGCCAAAAATGCCATGTTTCACGATTAAATTTGTTGATTTTTAGATTTGTTTTTTTCTCTTAAAAATCGTTAATTGTCAGCTTATATTTTTGAAAATATATTCCAGTTTTATTTATGCAAGTTCTTGGTTTTAAAATTTACCAAAAAATGTGTGAGAAAAAACTTCAATTTTCAACTTAGTAAAAATGATTCAAGTAAATTATTCTGAAGACTTTATTCAAATGTCTATTTAGCGCAGAGTCAAATGAACAAGTGAAGACCAAAATGGTTATTTTCGAAATGCATTTGTTCGTCAGGATGAAATTCTATCACGTCGACAGTAAGTTCTCATTAGGAATAAAAATGTATTTTTACAAGATATTTTCCAACATTTTCCTCATTTTAATGAGGGAATTCTTTAGATGAAGAATTCATAAGTGTCTTTCTAGCAATGGTAATTGGTTGTTCTGTGTTCAAATGTACATTGTGCTTTAAATTGTGAATTCTCTTTTATAAATCAAAAGTACAAAAACAATCGATTGGGCCTTGCTCCATTATACTCAAATATGCAGTACTAGCTACGAAATAATGACGCAGTCTGCTCACATGTATATTTCTCATAATTAGTATCATAGGTTTCCATAACGAACATTTCATTTGTGATTCACTTTGAAGTACACACATTCAATGAATTGGATTGGATTCATTATTATAAGGAAAATATATATATATGGTCAATTCTACGGACCTGTAACGTTACCAGTGGACCGTATATGTTTAAATCTCCGCTTTTATGAAAGATATCAAAAAACTGTCGAAGTATAAAATGTAGCTGAACATGAGTACGATCATTCGCAAATAATAAACTCGTGAGTTTTTTTTATTTGTTTGGAGATATGGGCAAATTAGTTGAGTGGTTCAAAATTCGTACGTTTTCATACATTTTTTTGTCATCTCAAATTCACTATTTTTCTATTTGCGAATAATAAAACATATCTAGAGCTACTTTTTATGCTTTGATAGTTTTTTGATATTTTCTATGCTAGTGGAGTTATGAGCAAATGCAGTGCACTGGTAACGTTACTTGTACGCCGTAGAATTGACCATATGTATATATACAAGTTAGAGACAGCTATAAAATACATCTTTCCTTTACAATTGATGGAAAATTTGTTTGACGAACTGCATTCATATAAATTCGTCGAAGAGTTTGAATTATGAGTAAATAGGTTTTAGAGTAGGGTCCGACTCTTCAAGGCCGCCATTCTTTGCAGTAAGAAAATCTGTAAATAACAAAATACGTTCTTTACAGATTTACAGATTTGAAGTATCTGCAAAGAACGTATTTTGTTATTTACAGTAAAATTTTATGGCTTTAACGCGCGCGCGTACATTCCCTTCACGCCATTAATAGGCTAACAATTATTATTATTAAACAATACAAAAGTGCATAAACACGAGAAAGTCCACACAGAAATGTGACGAAGAACCATGAACTGTTGAACATGTGTCGGATATTCGCACAATGCAAATATTACAGTAATATGCTTGAGAAATTACTTCTCAGAACCACATTATGCTATACAGGATCAACGGTCGTTAATCGCCGATTGAGTGAAAAGCAACCACCACTTTGCTTGCAGCGCTCGCTTCTATTCGTTTCTGCCTTTGTATACAGCGGAACATTGATTTAGATCGCACTTTACACATTCTCTTCAATTGATGGTTTAAATATTCTTCTATTATATTGCTTATTAATAATAATAATTGTTAGCCTATTTATGGCGTGAAGGGAATGTATCGTACATTCCCTTAAAGCCATAAAATTTCACTGTAAATAACAAAATACGTTCTTTGCAGATACTTCGAATCTATACATCTGTAAAGAACGTATTTTGTTATTTACAGATTTTCTTACTGCAAAGAATGGCGGCCCGACTCTTCAAATTATAGTCTTTAACCCGAAGCACTGCGGTTGATTAATCACAGAATAATAGCACGAATAAAGACTTGCGATTTCTTCTCAAAGTTTCCAAGTTTCTAACGATCACCACAAAGAATGTCATGAAAAGTGTTGAGATCACCCCAAAATTCAAGGTTCTGCTAATTAATTCTGTTATTTGAATTCCAAGTATTTAGTCCAATCTTCTGATACCATTATATTTCAGGACCAATTTCATAAATTCACTCATGACGTATGTTTTACAATATACGTTGTAGACTGACATACATTCTTATGGTAAAGAGGTTTAATGTACATTATGCAAGTATGTATATTGACGTATATTAATCAAAAATTTACGTCATTCCTCCCTACCTTTCATTCTAGTTTCATTAAAACTCTCGGCTCAAAAATATATCCCAGTGTTTTCAATGGAATCGTCCAAAAAATTGAAATGCTCGTCAAGAGGTTCATTTAATGTATGATGTGTAGTATATGGTGAGCTCGTGTTTTTGGCCCAATATCGATTGAGTCTTTTTTCTTTAATATAGTTTTACAAAAAATCGCGCATTTACAAGCAACTTCCAGAAATATTATTCAAACAAAATACCTATGGAAAGGTTCGTTTTGCGCTATAAGATTTTTTTGTATTGGAACACTGACTTCTCTCTGCACAAACACATGTTTTTGACTCTCAGAGATTTTATTCATAAAATGATAAAAACAAATTGTGCAAATCACCGTTTTCAATGGTTTCTCCAAATTCTTCATAACAGAAGGTCGCCCGATGTGCGAACGTCATTGCACTATTTGGATTGAGCTATCTGATTGTTGACGGACTTTTTTTGCGGTGGGTGAGTCAATTTCAAAAAAGTTTCGTGATTGATCAGATGTCAATGTTAACTTTAGCTTAGTTCTGTTTAGTAGGTCAAAAGTAACGAAAGTGGCTCGCAGTGTGTATAAATAAACAAGTGCAAAAGACTAGTTTTTCGTTCTATTTAAACAGGTGGGTAGAAGTGTAAACTGAATTTCAACAGATCTTGGTGGATATTCATCGTCGATATCACACAAATATTCGATTTTAAACAATGCCAGAAGAAAAGCCAGTTTGTTGATGATTGATTATTGTTCTCCACAATCACCCGGCGATAACAAATAAATAAAATATGTTAATCTGAGTTTTACTTCGAGGCAAAAACATTCAAAGTAAATTTAAACGGAAACAATAGTTATGACTGAACCGCAAGTGAAACACATTTTTCTCCAATTTTTTTCAATTTTTTCAAATCCACCGGATTGTTTATATTTATTCAGAAGATGTCTCAACAACACTTCAAACCCACAAAAAGTCAACCCATTACCTCCCAGATTTTTTTTAAGTGGCACGAAATCCGTCCCATTTTTGAAATCATATTTTTTACAGAATCATTGATGTCTTTATTTAAAGAAATTTAAAAAAAATTATATCGTGTTATTTTGTCCCGCAACGTATCATCTTAATTTGAATTCAGTTTCTATTACTCTTATTTAGAATATTTGATAAATTTCTAAATACCTGTTTGAAAACGGATACGTACGTCGGATGCTGATAACTGCATTGTTATCCACTGGAATCCCCTTTTTAAGTTTGACACTTCTATTTATTCATATTTATATGCAAACTAACAGTGACTTTGTTAGAAACAATTTATTTCAGTTTTGTTTAATGCACCTGGAAGACATTGAAAACGACTTCAAGTATCTTTTATCTTTGGGGTTGACTTGGGGTTTGTTCATTCCTGATTATTCAGTAATATTTATCAAGCAATTTTTGTACCCTGGCGAAGGCAGGGAGATGATGTGAAATTTGAATCTGTGATGTGAAATTTGAATTTTATCAACAAAAAATTATCTCATGAGATTTTTACTCGCTAATATTAGGACAATTTGATGTCGAATATTTATATTTTTCATGTTAGTGTTGTGCATTTTGTTTTATTGTTTATGCTTAACAATCAACAAGTTGATTTTTATAAAAGAAGAATGAGACTCGAACGAAAAGCTCCGACTATTGACCGAAAGTCGCTTAAAATATCTGCCTATACAGTCGAAAAGAACACTTTAGCCAAACCTTGAAAATGTGTTAGTATTTCATGCAGTGATGGTTCAATGATTTCTTATTATTACGAAATCTCTTAATAGAAGAAGAGAAGAGTCTTTAGTGGAAACGTTTTGTACCTTGGAACATGCTAAATAATAACGTCTTATTTATTTTTTCAGATACACGTTAAAATGCATACCAAAATATTTGTTATTGCATTGTTTATGAAGATATTGGTATTTTCAATGGGTGCTTCTGAAGTTATTGTCAGCAAAGGTAATCTACAATTAGGGTGTTCAGCTAATCTGAAAAAAAAGAATGAATAGCATAAATTTAAAGAGAAGCCAATTTTATGTCAACTGGTAGCATTAATAGAGCGTTATACAACACTTCCAGAAGAAAAAAAAACTCTTTGCAAAATCGAATAACACAATGCTACAGCATTTTTACGCCAAACTTCTGTTGCTGATTTTCTGTTAGTATGGGGCCTCCCAATTCCAAAAAGGCGATAATTTTGATAATCCCAGGCATTGTCGCTGAGCTACAGCCACAAATGTGAAAAAAGTCAGTTTTTTTATTTTTCTTCAACATTATGGCCCATAACTCAAATGTTTTCATAATAACCCATAATATTGTGTATTGTATTTGAAAGAGGATCTTAATACGAGTATTTTGATACCCTATTTGTTGAATTCGGTTGAGTGGTTCACGAGATATAAATCAAAACGTGTGTGCATTTCCTTGACAACATTTTCGATGTCACTTGGCAAAAATTTCTCTCCATCCTCTTCCAAGTTTGAGTTCAATTCAAACACTTTTAGTACCAAGTACTGGGTGATGTGTTTGTTGGCGTGAGTTTTTAAATTGGTGACGACGTTATCTGTGTACTGATTGGTCAAATGCTTAAGGCCATTGCAGAAATCTTTGTTGTTGGGCCAATCGATATGATGATAGTCGTCAAGACCTTCGACAATTTCTTTTGAATTCAGGATCGATACGTGGCAGCTCTTCTCGTTGTCCTCGTGGATTTGTTCCGCTTGGTTTATACTTTCTCTTCCGTTTCGGTGGCTGATTGTTGTGCCATAGCACTTGTTCAAAGAAGAGTTTGATCTTATCTTCTCCACTTCCACCAAACAATGCGAAATTATTGTTCTCGACGCCTATATTCGAACGCCCTTTGCACCTCAAACAAGAACAGCAATGAGCCCAAAACACAAATGGAAGTGGCTTGCAAACTCAGATCCATCATTTTGCTCATCAATGCTTGCTGGTATTGTGGGCGAATGATTGTCTTTAGCGCACATTTGATCGTCGTAATTTCTTCGTCCTTCGTTTCTCCCTTCGCTGGAATGGAAAAATGCTCAGTTTTTTTTTGGCTGGAAAAGAAACCACTTAGTGCAGTTAAGAAAACAGTTAGCGTTTAAATAAAATAGTTAGCTCTATTTATATACTCTCAGGTAGTTAAAATCAGATGAACAGTTAGTTTGAAATCAGATAAAGGGTTAGTTTGGAGTAGAAAATAGATAGCATTTTATTCAGAAAAAAATAGTATTTTAATAAGAAAAAACGTAGCAATAAATTCGAAAACGCCTAGCTATTTAAATGAAATAAGAGAGGAAACAATTTGAAAACACTTGACAATTTGTAGAAACAACATGGTATTTTTCACTGCTGAACATAACGTGATATGTTGGGCCCATGTCAAACGAAATTTGATGCAGAAAACCAGTGATGAAGAAATTTTGGCGGATATTGACTCACTTCATTTTTCGTTTAATCCACAAGTATTTGGAAAAGGCGTTGATTTATTCATGATGAAATGGGAACATATTCATGGGAAATTTTGCAAATATTTCAATAAGACTTGGATAGAAAAAAATTCTTCGTGGTATGAAGGCTATGTACTTGGCATTCCTTCTCACAACAACGCATTAGAGTCTGGGAATAATGTTATAAAAAAAAATTACACAATGCGACGTCGATTAAATATCAGCCAATTCAATACCCAATTGTTTAAATATCTAACTGATAAGTCATCAAAATACGAGAATCCCAAATTTAGTTATGATTTAAATCCATTCATTCCAAATCAAGAATGGTCTAAATCAATACTCTGGGCTAAAGATCGAAAATTTAACGGTATTAATTGGGATATTTTGGATGATATTCAAACGACGTTCGTCCCCTCAACAAAGTTCATTGAAAAATATGACCGAAAGATAAACTTAGATGATATTGATACATATGAATTGTGTGACGCAAATAATTTCGATGAATTCTATGAAAATTTGACCCTCATCTGGAAAATTGATTTCAACTTGAACGATTGGAAAAAATCGAATTGTAATTGCCCATTTTTTCTGAAATCTTATTTTTGCAAACATGTGTTGGGCATCGGCATCCGGTTAGGCATAATAAAACCACCGGCATCAGCCAATCCCGACAAGCTTTGTCAAAAGAAGAAACGGGGGCGGCCAGCATTGGCTAAGAAAGCACTGATTAAACAATAATGCACCAATTAAAAATAATATGTTATCGATTGAAATAGTTGTTTTTCATTTTAATGCAATGAGCCCAAAGCGAGATTTGATTCTTTTCAGTTTGTGTTCGATCTTTGTAGTGTGTGTGTGTGTGTTACAGATTGAAAAATACCATGTTGTTTCTACAAATTGTCAAGTGTTTTCAAATTGTTTCCTCTCTTATTTCATTTAAATAGCTAGGCGTTTTCGAATTTATTGCTACATATTTTCTTATTAAAATACTATTATTTTCTGAATAAAATGCTATCTATTTTCTACTCCAAACTAACCCTTTATCTGATTTCAAACTAACTGTTCATCTGATTTTAACTACCTGAGAGTATATAAATAGAGCTAACTATTTTATTTAAACGCTAACTGTTTTCTTAAAACTAACTAAGTGGTTTCTAAATATACCTTTTTTTTTATGGTTTGGTGATGAAGCGCGGTTGAATTTTTAGAGCCATATAAGGCATTCCCATTAACATGAACAATAAGCAAGTAATTAGTGTCATTTGATCATGTAAACAGTGATCACTTATTATTCGAGAAAAAAAAAACGAAAAAGCAAACGAACGGTTTCTGAAAATTTATCAGTTATTAGGAATAGATGTTCGGATGCCAAATGTTTTTTTTCGAATAGAATTATGTGCAGGTATTATCCATGTTGTGTTTTTTCCGGAGAAAATTAATCGTACGGATGTAAGACTCTATTCATTCCCGAAGAGGTATTTAACATTGTTTTTCCGTTTTCTCATTCCTAATGCAGAAAATACTAAATGTGTTGTAAACATTAATGGCAATGTTACATTGAAATCAATCGGAGATATGTGGGATTCAAGTGAAAATCAATGCATTAAGCACATTTGCGAGGTTGGAACATTTGGAAATGCTGTTGAGACACTTTTTCGTGAATACTGTGATCACAACTGTGAAAAAGTGCGTACAAATGAAATGAATAAATGAAACAAAGAGAATTCCTGGTAAAAATCTTCACTTTTTTTATTTTTGCGATGATGGACAGCAGTCTGCACGATTGGCTAAATCACACCTAGTGCTGAGAGTCGTCTATACATACGTATCGTTTGAAAGACCACGACTTATAGGCTCAGAAAATACATTCGAACTCAGAGCTAGAGCATAGAGCAACCACCTTCTTCTAAAAATGATTGGTTGAAAAATATGGTTTATTCACAATACTAAAAAAATACTGAAAAATGAACATGACCGAAATATATTTCTTTTTGAAGATATCACCGTGCAACACATGTTTCTACACATGAGTAATTCCGATTGCTTTTTTTAGAGGACCAAAAACCAAGCACTTTTGCATCATTAGTTTGTTCGAAACCACGTTTAGATTTTTTTATCGACACATATAAGACAAATTTCAGGCCAAAATGAGCAAATCACAAACATGAGCTTCGGTTTGACAGGTAAAAGCAAATAATTTCTACCTTTTCTGCCTTTCAACATCTAGTATGATCCTTTACGAACAATGACCAAATCGAGTGATGTTTCCACATATTTCTGGCCGCATATTCGGTTGGTTCGATTTCAACTCTAAAAGAATCGACTTTTGGCCAAAAATCCTTAAATATAGGCTTTTCAGGGATGGTATGGTATCTTGGCGCAAAGTTATTTTTTCTCGAAAATATGGGGAGTCTACCCAAACAAAAACTTTCGAAATCGACTTTTTGAGGTACCTCCCGAACAAAAGTTCGGGCCCTTTGCTATGAAAATATCATTTTTTGTTCGGGAAGTGCCCCAAAAATCATTTATAAGAGATTCTGTGTGAAAAGATTCCCAATATTTGTCGAAAAAAATAATTTTTTACTAAGAAACTCATCCAAATAGTGTATTTTTGAGCTACCTCCCGAACAAAAAATGATAATTTGCCATGAAAAACGTAACTTTTGTTCGGGAGGTACCTCAAAAAGTCAATTTTGAGAGTTTTTGTCTGGGTGGACTCCCCATATTTTCGAGAAAAAATAACTTTGCGCCAAGATACCATACCATCCCTGAAAAGCCTATATTTAAGTTTTTGGTTCTCTAAAACAAGCAATCGGAATTTCTCATGTGCAGAAAGAAAAGTTGAAATTTGTTACACGGTGTATTAGTTAAGACGTAAATCCTGATGATAGATTCAAATCTGAGTTTGTACTGTTCAGCCTAAGTGGTGTAGCCTTTGAAAGATCTCAAAAATAATAGAAATGATTTGGAAGCCCGTGATCTCTCATCTTCTATTGTTAACATGTATATTAGCACAAGAATCATAGGCCTTTATCATTTTTTCTACAATAGGGTCTTTGGGTGCCGAAGGAAGGTCAATGTTGTGGTGAATGTATCCGAAAACATTGTGTGTTCCAAAACCAAACCTATAGCCCTGGAGATGTCTGGAGGAGTGAAGACAATTGCTTGTTCTATGAATGCGCCGAAACTTTTGAGGGGGATATCGTTGGAACAAAGGTTTCGTCATATAAAAAGGCATGTCCAAAATTAGAGAACTGTCCTACGAATCAAGTTTTCTCCAAAGGCTGTTGTGCATTCTGTAAATCTAATTCGAGTACAGAAAATGAAGAAACAGATGATTCTTTCGCCAACCACGATGAAACTATGTCAAAAGATACGTATCTGAATCATCCTTGCAGGCGCGAATGTATACAAAACACAACACCCAGAACTTGTAGCTACAAATTCGTGGTAAGTTGGGAATCAATTTGAAATAATTTATTTATTATTCATTGATAAATATTCAAAAAAAATAATAACTGTTTCTTCCAGTTGGAATGGTATGAGACACTAAGTAAGGCATGTTATGACTGCCCATCGAATGAAACTGATTGCTTTCGTCCGCATTGCATATTTGTTGATGGATTTCGCAGAAGTGTTCTAGTTGTGAATCGAATGATGCCTGGTCCAATGATTGACATTTGCAAGGGAGATACCATAGTCGTTGACGTGGAAAATCACTTGATGGGAGAGTCTACCACCATACATTGGCACGGATTGCAGCAATATGAGAGTAAGTTGAGAGGAAAATTGCCACTTTCTTAGGGCTCCAATTCAGTACATTGTGTTTTATGGTGTATGAGTTAAAGAGAGAATGCACGAATTTTAGTTTTTTCATGGATCAAAACGCATTCTTCAGAACTGTGAAATCACTATGTAAAGCTTTCTTTATTAAGTAACTACAAGTTCACTAATAATACAAGTATCATTTCTTCCATACATAGCTCCATTTTTTGATGGGGTACCGCACGTCACACAATGCCCAATTCTGCCGCATACAACGTTCCGTTACATGTTCAAAGCAGATATTGCAGGAACACACTGGTGGCATTCGCACGTAGGAATGCAACGGTCTGATGGAGCGTTTGGAGCTTTTATCATACGAGAACCAGCAAGCGACATTCCATCTCAAATCCGGCAAGTAATCAACGATCAAGATACGACTGGCTTCATTATGATGATGCAAGATTGGGAGCATAAAATTGGCGTCGCTGGCTTTTCATCCTTTCATCATTCAATCGGAGATAATAAACCAAAGCAGATATTAGTAAATGGAAAGGGAAGATATTCGAAAAAATTAAAAATAATGGAAACCACAGGAACTGTTGAGCTTGATAAAAGTATCTTTCCCAAAATCACAACAGAAAATCAATTCAATCCAATACATACAACGAATGAATCTGACACACAAGATGATACCGTTCCAACACCATACGAGGTGTTTAATGTTGACAAAGGCTTGAGCTATCGTTTTCGAACAATTAATTCAGGTTTTTTAAACTGTCCGTTAGAAATTTCTATTGACAATCACACAATTTTGGTTATTGCCTCAGACGGACATTACATTGAACCCGTGGAAGTTGATTCGTTAGTTTCCTATGCCGGGGAAAGATTCGATTTCATTGTAAATACCAATCAGCCCATTGGAAATTATTGGGTTCGAATTAAGGGTTTGATGGATTGTGATGAAAGATTTATGAAAGCGTATCAAGGAGCAATACTTCGGTACACAGGTGCCGATATCATGATACCGCAGGAGAAATTAACATATGATCATAAACGAATTGGTTTTCAAATGAATAGTTTGAATAGAGGTCCCAATCAAGTTGACAGTGTTGCAATCGTGGAAGCGACCGCCCTTGAACCAGACACACCTGAACTATTGACGGAACACACAGATTATAAATTTTACGTTCACTATGATTTCTATGATAAAAATTTCCCTCAATTTAATCATCCGTCTTTGTATAGCATTCAGTCGGTTCCGAATCGAAATAATAAATTTTTTGGTCCCCAGTTGAATGAAATATCATTTCGAATGCCGTCAACTCCGCTTCTAATGGGTCGTGATGAAAGTAAATTCTGCAATAGATCATCATTGTTGGAACGGAATATCGATTGTGAAACGAATTTTTGTGAGTGTACACACGTTCTTCAAGTTCATTTGAATTCTACGGTAGAGGTAATAATAGTTGATGAAGGCTACATGTACGATGCGAACCATCCATTTCACTTACATGGTCACCACTTCCGAGTGGTTGGAATGGAGAGGGTCAAACCAACTGGAATTACCATAGACGAAGTGAGTTCAAAGTATTTGTCATTGCTGTAGAGTACAATCGTAGACTATGCTTTATTCCGATCTTTTCTTATTCTTATACTATGCTAAATCAGTCATACTAGATTTTGTACCTTCATCGTTCGTTATGTTGATTCATTTATGTATCACACATCTAGATCATTTTTGTTAGTGTTACTCAATACTCAAAAATTCAACATCAAAAGTATTATTGAACATAACGAACATTCGCAAGTGCGCATGGTAAAACTTCCCAAAGGCGATGTAAGTCATTTTATCTATTTATTCTTTCAGTTTCAGTTAATCATTTATCTATTTTCATATTACAGTCCAATTAGTTTATTCGTTTTCATCTTTTCATTGAGTCACATTTTGCAGGTGTTCAGAAGCCAACAACAGATTCATTTCACTTTTCGGTAAAAAAAAATTGTATTTGTTTTAAGTTTGAATACAACTGGAAGTCGAAAAGCAAATCAAAATTTCTTTTGCTTCAAATTCATTTCTCAAGGAGGGGGTCACCCATTACATTAGTCATACTATTTAATCTTTTCCAAGCTGAATCTATCCACTTCACTTGATAAAATTTCCATGCATACTGATGAAGAAAAAAAATCGCAAATACTCAACTAGAATAAATTTATTTCACTCGGTAATATAGATCAGGAAGCTAGACGAATCTAATAAAATGAAAAGAAGACTGTCTGGAGCTCCTATTAAAGATACGGTTACCGTTCCTGATGGAGGCTATACGATTATCAGATTTTTGGCAAACAATCCAGGCTTTTGGCTGTTTCACTGTCATATCGACTTTCATGTGGAGGTTGGCATGGCGCTAATTTTCAAAGTTGGAGACTACAACCAAATGCGTCCATTGCCACAAAACTTTCCATACTGTTCAAACTTTTTCCCAACGAATACGACGATCACATCGAAAGCGCATGTAACAAATTACAGTTTATGTATAATTGCAATTTCATTTATTGTAGCCATATTCAATTGAACATTCTACAATTGAAGCAAATTAGACAATTGTAGATGTGTAACAGTGTGTTGCTCAGGAAACAAATGTGTACATAAAATATTCTATAGTTCATTTTGTATTATCACAGCTATTATTGTTAAGTGTTATAGCTCATAAAAATGGAAATAAAATTGGCAAAATAATTTACGGCTTTTAATGAAAGTTTTATTTCAGGCCCATAAACAGAGGTATTCTTGAGAGTTCTGAGCACATATCTATAGGTGAGATTGAGAGTAGTGTATGTTTCACTGACTTTGTTATGAAAGAGAAGAGTAAGTTTCTGTCGACTTAAAAATGGTTAAAAGCGAGTAGTTCATTTTTGGCGGGTCGTCACGGTTTTTTGCGGTTTTCGTGGAACTGATAAAAGATAACAACATGGTCTCTTCGTTTTAGTACTTGAGGTCCTCTATAACTTAGCTGAAGACAGTTATCTCTTATCAGTTTCGCGAAAAGCGCGAAAAATGATAAGAAAAAAAAAGTTCTACATAAATTTTGCTTTTTTAATTGCGCGATTTGCGCAAAACTGATAAGAGATAAGAGATAATTGTCTTCAGCTTAATTATAGGAGACCTCGAGTACTACAACTTTGTCGAAGACACCATGTTGTTATCTTTTATCAGTTGAGCGAAAATCATGAAGACCGCGGAGGCTAGACGGTACTACAACATACTCTACTTTAACGGAGAACGAAAGTTCCCGACGATTCGATGACTTGCGCGCGGCGCGATTTCTGCTCCACCAGTATTTTGTCTGGGATATACCCTGGCTGGGTTTCCGCCACTAAAGAAGGATTCTCTATTCTTATTCATATTCTTTTTATTATTAGAATTTCTTTTTATTATTAGATTATTCTTTTTATTATTAGATTGTACGTTAGAAAACTGTGTCTACCCCCTTGGACGGATTCCAACACATGTTGAGATTTTCACAAGAAATGTTTTGTTCCATATTCACTCAGTGAATGAGTAAGTTTAACTCAAGTATTTGTCAATTGAGTGACCGTTTGCATACGTTGTCTAATTTGACAAGTAGTTTCACTCAGTTTTGAGATTGTCAAATTAGATAACGTATGCAAACGTTCACTCAATTGACAAATACTTGAGTTGAACTTACTCATTCACTGAGTGAATATGGAACAGAACATTTGTTGAGAAAATCTCAAATAATGTTGGAATTCGTCACATTACAACATTTTGCTACGCGAAAATGAATTTGTTTTTCTCTGTGTGTGTTTAATGTAAAAAAAATAGCTCTCAAAACTGATAAATTGAACTATTCTGAATCTACTAAATCAACTGACATTGCACCTGGACTTGATTCTTGTGTTTTGAAATCATATTTTTCTTGTGCACCGATTTTTTTCAAAATATCTTGGCGAGTTTTTATGTAGCGGTGGAATTCAATGCATGTTAATTCCATATTGTATTGAATAGTTAGAATTGACTTTAAAGTGCTTATTTTGAGAGATGAACTTTCTTTTTTCCAAACTTTATTTACTCTCGCAAAAATTCGCTCTGCTGGAGTTGAAGTACCGGGGAAACAAAAAACAAATTCAATTATAGCGGAAAATTTGGTGAACGAAATATTTTCCCTTTCCAGGTGACTAAATATTTCTACCCATCTATTTTCTGCAGCAATTTGTTTCGCATTCCATTCACCAATTTTTTCCGTGGAACAGTACTGCTTTACACAGCCAAACTGATGGAATATACTTGATGATTGTGATTCGAAATCAAACGAAAACTTTTCGGCCAATACTTTGAACCAGAGATGGAGTAAATGTATATCAATTCGTTGAATTTACTGTACTCGGTACAGTACGGTATATTTACATTGATTTACCTTTGCGTTAAATAACGCGTCCGCTCTCACTAAAATATGAGTTGACGCATGTGCTCCGCGCGTTCAACGCAAAGGTAAACGTTTAAGTATATACCGATACACATTTCCATACACTTGGGGTAAACGATCAACCATCTCTGCTTTGAACGAATCCTTGACTGTATACAGATTAAATTTGTTTATAAACATTGGATAAATCATGAAAAGTGAGCTAATGAAGGTTTGCGTTCCACAAAACTGAACAACGAAGATGTGGCTACAGTGTTTCATATCGTTGTTAGTTACTGTTGACTGTGCAACTTGAATTAATGCCGTTCGTGTATTCTAAATAAGATTTGGGTTTCGATTCAAATGTTTACTTTATGATTTTGTCTGGAAAAATTCCTGGAACTCAACAATAATAATAATGTTCATGATGAAATAAGTCTATGCGAAACCGAAAACATACAAATCTGCGCAAGTGGCAGAATGCAGTATAAATCCAGTATATATCTCCAAAAATCAGTATCAAGTATATTCCGGTATCGAACAAAAAAAATGGCAAAATCCAGTATAATACTGCAAAGTCCAGTACAGTTGGTAGCATTACGTTACTGCCACTGTTTTAAATTAAATAAAAAATATGAGCATAAAATTCAAATTTACCATAATTTGTTTCAGTACTCAAAAATTATTAAGACAAAAAAAGAGCAGATTAGTAGCTCTACATTTCATGTAATGCTAAAAAAGACGCGGTATGATTTTGGTCAAGAAAAATGTGGTTATTTTAAATGGTATTTTGTTTCAATTCGTCACATTTTGTTCCAATTTTTTCAGTTTTCAGACGACAAAAAAGACAATCAGACGTTTCATTTCATTTGAATACCCAACATCAAGATTTTCGGAATCATAATGCAATTTTCCATAAAATACATGAACGTACTGTTGTTTTTTTCTGAAAATTCTTATAAATTTCCTAGGCAAAATCTGAATAAAAGCTGAACGCTTTGAAAACGGTGCGGAAAAGTTCGTCTTACGGAGGTAAGACTATTTATTGGTACTTTTACTTTTCACCAATAGAATTTGCATGGTTCACTAATTCAGTTTTCTCTGTGTGGAGGATAAAAATGGGATTGGCCCAAACCGCCGGTTTATAGGCGAACTGCGAACCATTTTTGTGTTCCTGAAGAGATAGGAGACAGACACTTCATGCAATGTTTAATGTTTAAACATTTCAAGATATTCATTTTTGCTTGAGAAACTGGCCTCCTATTTCTCACCAGGAACGCATATATATGATTCCCATGTAATTAAGCGCATTTGGCTAATCCCATTTTTATAATCAACAACACATACATATATATGTACATGATGACCCTTCATCACTAATTGAGAACAAAAAAGTACTGTTAAAGTAAATTCATATCATCACTGTGTACTCCAACATCACGTACACTAAATTCCTTTGGTGCACACGTTGTTTTTTCATTCCATCTGAACAAACACAAAAGTGGTGTGTTGGGCTAAAGCCGTTTTCGAAAATGATTATTCGTTTATTGTGCGACGTTTCGTTCTTATTAGGAGCATCATCAGGCTGGAGAACAAAAATGTACACAAGAAACAATGAGTAAGTGTTTGAACAATTGGTAACAGCCGAAAATAACCAAATTACGAACCAGTTACATCTGAAATTAAAATGTTTTCGAACGTATTCCATTATTTTCCATCGATTTCCACAAATTGTATCAGCTACACGTATCCATCAAAGAAATTTTGTTATTGAGCTTCATTTAGTGTCTGAATATGATTACACTATGCAACAACAAGAAACAACCACAGCGATAGAACTTATTTCCAATGTTTTTGGGCCCACTTAATCCAAATCTAGCGTTAGTTTGTCCTGGCATGTCCAGTTTTCAAGATAGGTTCATTGCGGTTTCCGTATCAGATTTGGATTAAGTGGGCCAAAAAAAACCTTCGAAATGAGTCTCCCCTTTTTGGGAGAGTTTCGTTTTCGAAATTTGTTGCATAGTGTTAGTAAACCTCAATTCATAAATTCTATAACTGAAAAATACCGCAATTCATCAATTATTGATTGCATGGCACGTGTCAGCTATTAGTAGATGAATGGTATAAAAGAGGCAGCACCGCACGGGGAAGACCAAACGAATTCAAAGGATCTTCTAAAGAAGTACAAGACGGTTCTCTACTATTATTGTACAACAGGTTAAAACTCTGTTTGGTTGGCAAATTAAAATGAATCTACTACGCGGTTTGTTTTCAGTGCTATTTATCGTTGAATTTTCGGTAAGTTTTTTCTATTCCTTTATCATTTTCACTTTTATCCAAAAAAATACGATATTTCTGTGTAAATGAATTAACACGAAATTTCTTTTTCCAGAAACTTCAAGGAAAACGTAAGATATTTTTGGTTTTCGAACTAGCTTTTTATGATTCCAAAAGATTTTTTCAGACTCTTATAATATTCAATTCGAATTTCAACTTTTTTTCTAATGAACAGATGGCTTTTTCTCGCAAGCTCTTCTTAAGGGCGAAGTGATTGAAAACATGTCACAGGCAAAGTTTGTAGCTGGAATCCATGCCCCCGCAAGTAAGTCTGCTTTAGAATCATTTTCATTTTTTGTGTGTGAATTTTTGTCCGAAAAATTCAAATATTCTATCAATTTTGCTAGGGGCTGACCACGCTTCAGATAATTGAAAATAATGTTAGATTTTATATTTTTTTTCAAACAATATATTATTTACAACTGTGACATTTTTCGAACTTTCTCCAGAAATGTTTCACTGTAAATGATAACTTTCACTTGTGCGTTGTTACTAAAACGAATATGCATTTCTGTCGGTTTACTGTCAGAAAATTCATCACATTGTGGTGGTCAAAAGTATCGTTCATAGTGGATTATAGATTTAGTCAAATATTTGAGTTAACATGCAGATGGTATTAAAACCGAATGATAGACACGAATTTTGTAGATCGACCATTCCACACGAAATCAGTTAAGAATTGGATCGACCCTCTGCGAATTGGCTGAAAATTTGCATGGAGTCTTGTTTTCGGTAGAAAATGAGAAAACCAAAATCTTGGGCCTGTAAGTGGCCAACATTTTCGAGTTCACCCAGTGTAAACTACCTGTGCCTAGTAACCCACTTCCTTCGACTCCATTGGGGCTCCCAAAAATGGGTTCAAAGTATAAAAAGTGAAAAAAGTCAAAAACACGGTGTTTTTTTGACATGTTTTTTTCGCGTCAAATGATGGCCCATGTCGCGCAATATATTATAATAATAATAATAATAATAATATACAATATGTTTGGCCTCGGCAAATGAATCATATATCATTTTTCACCGTTTTTATGGAGAATATGGTCGAAAATGGCTTCTTATGACATTTTGATCTGAGAAAACTGCAATTTTTTTGTCAAAATACATTAAAATATTACCATTTGAACATCGGTTTACCTATAAATTTGGTCTGAAACTTACTTTTCTTCATAGAACAAACGAAAGGTCAAAATTCGCATACAAAATCACACTTATGGTACAGAAAACTCATCTATGGTGGCCTGGTATGAGTCTATTTTCACGTAATTTTGGATGAGAAATCGATGTAGACTTATCTCAATCCTGTTTGATGAGCCTAAAATGCCGAAAAATGGCCCCGTTCCAGCTTATGTTTTCAACTCGCCATATTTTATACAGAAAATTACTTTTTCTACTTCAAAAATGCCTTGTTGTGCGTTCCAACATCAATGACTTTTTATCTATAAAAAATTCACGGTTTCCCCTAGCAATTTTGTGTGTGTGTTCAATTTTTCTTTAAATATTATTGCTTTTACTGAGAATGAAACGATTTTATTACAAAATATTTGCATGAATACAAAGACCATCCAAATGATCCCAATAAAAAAATGATGGGTATGTGTACCGCATTCATTCTGTCGAAAACGGAAATTATCACGAATGCCCATTGTGTGTATGACGCCCCATATGTTTATGTGGTAGCTGATACGAAAGTTGTATCAGAGGCAAAACAGAAAATTAGAATCAAAGTCGAAAAAGAGAACTTTGTATATCACCCTTATTATAGTCGTTCAATTGCTGGTGCATTTGATATTGCCAAAATTACACTGAAAACGCCGTTAGAATTCAGCGATACCGTTGGTATTATCGAACTCGTGGATAAGGATTACAAATTGAATAACCCATCAGAAGTGGTCACCGTATATGGGTATGGCGTGTTGAAAAATACAGGACCATCGATATTGAGGCGTTGCGATGCAAACTATATATCTGATTTTGGACGAGCCAACACATTTAAGCCAAGTCGGGCTTTGTACTTTACAACTGGTGAAGCTACGAATGGTGGCGAAATTCTTACTCACGGCGATTCGGGTGGACCAGTTGTTTCAAATACAAATGGCAAAATAGTGGGGATAACAATGGGTAAAATAGCAGATGGTCGCGGAGCGTTCCTTCCAATTAGTCTATTTCTTGATTTTATTCGTGACCCAAAGGTATCTAATCACAATGCCCCCATTTTTATTCTCAACAACGCAAACAAAATGATTTTTTGCATTAATTTCAGAGCGTGAAACCAATTCCACCTCAGCTAACACCTAACGAAGCTAAATTTATAGCCGATATAACGGTACCGGGAAGTAAGTGTGCATTCGAAATTCGAACCGAATCAAACCGTTTTTTTTTATTTCAAATAGAGGAGAGGCAAAAGTGGAGATTTTTCATGATTCATAAATATAAATATTCATTCTGAGATGTTTTTCTATTACAGAATTTCTTACTGTCTTCAAGCATAAATGTGTCGATGCCGACGAAGATGTTGAACTAAAATTTGATGCAATCATTTTGTCGAAAACGGAGATTTTGACCTGTGCGCATAATGTTCACGGCACCCCATATGTCTACGTAACCGTTAATAAACTATCAAGAAATGCGACAAAAATTAAAGTCACTGAAGACCAGATAGAAATTCATGAGAAATACGCATTGTTGGGATTCGCATTTGACGTTGCCAAGATTACACTTGAAGAACCGTTGGAGTTCAACGATAACGTCGGCAGCATAGATTTGGTGGACAAAGATTACAAAATGAATGACCCGTCCGAAATGGTCACTGTTTATGGTAATATGATATTGTATGGAACAATGAGAACGAGACGTTATGATACAAAGTATTTGGATGGCGCCAAATGCAAACCGAAAGTGCACCCTTTATTTGATGCAAATCATTTGATGTGTTACACTTTAGATGAAAGCATGGGAACTCTCTCTTCGTTTGGAGGTCCAATTATTTCGAAAAAGAATAACAAACTCGTGGGCATGACCGTATTTTGTTCATCTGATCAGCCAGTTATTTTTCAACCGATTGCACCGTTGCTTGATTGGATCCGGAAGCCAAAGAAGAAGAAGAATATAGGCTTGAAAAAAGGGTTTTAGGCGCCTGAAAAAGCTGAATACCGTCTCTTTTTTTGCCCCTGTCATTTGATGTTCAACAAAAGAACCGAATAAATTTGATAATTTGAGAAAAATGCATTTTATTTCTCATTAGCCCCTGCGCAGTTATATGATTATCTGAAATAATTGCGATGAAAAGTCATTTGAAGAGTGAATTGAATCGACTCCAAAAGCAAATCAACATCACAGTCAGATCGGAATGCAATACATTTTGGGACGACAAATTGAAGAGTATCACCAAAGGCAGCAAAAAGTTATGGAATTTGTCGAAACAGTTCCGCGGCAAATTCGATTCTACCATAAACAAAATCAAAGTCAATGGATCTCAGACATGCTAATCTCTCTACGACAGATTCCTTGGCTCATGAGGAGTAAAAATGTGTATGGACCCTTTTCCGAATTAGGCCTCTATACCAAAGATTTGGCCGCCGGCGGATTTTTGGCCGCGCCGCCGTGCTTCTACGCCAAAAGCCATTGTGAGCCCATTTTTGGACATGAATGCATGATTTTTGGCTCATTGGAAAGATATTGAGGCCCACTAGATCCTCCAATCCAAAAACGGTGAAAATGTTTGACTAAGGGGTTAAAATTAACCCTTACCGGAAAGTATGGAAAACTGGTGAAAATAGTGAATTATTTGAAAATAATGCGTTATTAAGGTATCGTTTTTGCATCACAAATCGAAAGATCGTAAAATTTTAGGCCGGTATGCCCATTTTTAGAAACCGATTTTGCGTTAACCCAAGAAAACTGCGACCCAAAGGTGTCATTAGTACCCATTTTTCGAAGGTTCTTAGATACCGGGGTTCTTATATCCAGAAACTATGGAGGGATTCTGTAGTAGAGAGGTCAGCATGGAATTATGAATCACCCTGTATATTAGAATCAATAATAATGTGGCCAGATTTTTTTTCGATTTTCGGCTGTGTTGCGACCGTCTATATGGGAAGTTTCTATGAAAACGTCGGAGTGTCGGTGAAATAACATTGGTTTATATGGTAAAATGTGCACAATCAATCAATGAGAACATGTTGCGTTTTAATGTGAATCAATCGTTTTTTACGGCTGCTTTTCCTGATTGCCTCAAAATAGCAAAAGTCATTCCTATCTACAAAAAAATTGGCTCCAAAAATGAAGTAATTTTTTTGGCCTATTTCATTATTGAATGTATAATCGCCTATATGCCGTTTTGGAAATAAATAATTTCTTTGAAAATGACCAATTTGGTTTTCTAAAAAAATCAAATACAACATCAGCATGCGTCTCTTTTAACCCTTTAACTACCTTTGTATGGAAAAAAATATGTCTCCCATAAGAACTACGTGTAAAATCTTTTTCGTTTTTAAAAAATTCAGAATTATTTTGAACGTAAAATGGTTTGAATTGTGCTTTGTTGTGCCCATTTAATCACGAATTTAATGATATTTTTGTAAATTTTTGTGTTTGAAAATTCGCGAATAATGGCCAAAATACAGGGAAATACGGGGTATTTATTTACCTTTACCGACCAATGGGACACATATGTCCCATCGCGCCAAACGCAATAAAAAGTGGAAAAAACGTTTTTTTCTAAATAAAGTCGATGATTTTTGGAAAGTAATGGACATTTCGCACATTATTCCAAATTTTCAGCTTTAAAAGTTCCACCGTTAAAATTATATAGCATTTGGCGAAAGTTGAAAAAAAAGTTAAGATTTTTTGACTTTAGAGTGTTCTATCCAATTGCGTTTACAATAAATATCCAATATTATGGTACTCTCTGATAGCTACATTAATTCTCTTTCAAACGAAACCAATTTTACTAAAATTGGTTAAAAAATGTAGTTATTACAGATGAAAAACAAAATGGGACATATGTGTCCCATTGGTCGTCAAAGGGTTAAGACAACAATATCGTAAACATATCGGGTCAGTCGAACTGAAAAGTTGTTTTATTTGAACAATGACAATAGAGTTGGGATCAAACATTTTCTTCACTTTGGTTTTTCACTTCCGATAAGATCACCATAAGATTACTGTCCAAAATATATTTAACACTAGATTTAACATTTCCAGAGCCTTATACGTATTTTGGCGGTCTTTTTCACAAAAATATGAACAATTCAGGACTGATCAAATTATGGTTAATTCATTAGTTTATTTGTATGTTTCTGAATTGAGGATAAAGTGTGCTACAATCGAAATGCAAACTTATTTTTTCATCGCAACTGGCTGTATCATTATCAAACTATTTCGACCATTCCACACGAAATCGACCGAGAATTGGATCGACCATCTCCGAATTAGCGCGAAAATTTGCATGGAGTTTTTTTTCGATAGAAAATGAGAAAACCAAAATCTTATGGCTATAAGTGGCACACATTTTCGAGTTCACCCAGTATAAATTTTTCAAAAAATTAGAAAAATCGAAAAAATGGGTTCGCGGCAATTGACATCTAACTGAGAAGTACTTGACACATCGCCAAACCTATGGTACCGTTGGAAAGGTAATCGATGGGGCTACAAAAACCACGAAGTTAACTACCCACTTTGACCCCATTGGGGCTCTAAAAATGGGTTCAAATTATAAAAAGTGAAATATGTTGCGCCGCTTAAGACAGCGATTAGAAAGTGCTTCTAACAATATGACTTAATTCGTTTTTTTGGCCTCGGCAAGTGATCATTTTTCAGCGTTTTTGTGGTTAAAATGGTCGAAAATGGCCTCTTACGAAGTTTTGATCTGAAAAAACTGCTATTTACACTTATGGCCATAGGTTCTGACATAGTCTGATCTCGTTGATCCTGACCCCCCCTGGCAAAATTTGACCCCCAACGATTTTTTCGGACCCATTGCCATTTTCGGACCCTTTTTTTTTGCTCCTCAATTTTGCTGCGAAGGGAACATTAACACTAGTTAAATAGAATGGATTGATTATGAAAATGATTTTACACTAGATAGAATTGATTTTTTTGACCCCCAAAGGAATTTTTGGTTTGACCCCCCTGAAATTTTTGGTGTCAGAACCTATGCTTATGGCATAAGAAACTCACCTATGATGGCCAATTGTGAATCTATTGCCACGTAATTTTGGACGAGGAATCGATTTAGAGTTATCTCAACCCTGCCCAAAACCAGTCATAGTGTTAAATGACTGATATCATTTTGAGTGACGCTTGGACGCTGTATTATCTCTGGATACGAAGTTCAAAAGTATTCACATTCAATATTGTGAAAATTCACATTTAATAGTTACTATGTGGCAAAATGTCGAAAAAATTGACGATTCTTCCAATTTTTCGACCATAACTCGGAGATTATTCATTTTTTGGTAGAAAATGTAAAACCAAAACACTCTTTTCAACATACCAATTCGAAAAAATAATGTATTTTTGGACAAAATGTCGATAAAGTTGACTCAAAAATTCACCGAAACACCGAATTATCCCCGAAACCCCGAAACGATCCGAGCCCCCGAAAAGATCCCGACCGACACCCGACCGACAATGTCGGGTATCGGTCGGTTATCGGTGAGCATAGCTGATTGTCGGTCGGTTGTCGGGTCGAAAATTCGGCCCCGATGAGAACACTAGTATCCAGTAATAATAAAGCGTCCAAGCGTTACTGAAAATAATGTCAGTCATTTTGAGTGATACATCCACGCATAGGATTGTCACTCCACTTTAACCTCGTCTAGACCCTAGAGGTTCTTCATCTGATTTGAGACAGATGAGAATAAAAACAAAAAGAAAAGAGTTTTCTCAGGGTGGATTTAATGTTTTATTTATGTTCATTTCCATAGAAATGCTGCACTTGATTCAAAATATCAATATTCATTGGCGTTGAAGGATTTTCATTTTTAATTTATATATTTGGCTGTATTTCTTTACTGGTGCACGGTAACGATAAGCTATGATGTGAAGATTGTGAATGCGAATCATCGCTCGAACTGGAACTGCTTTCCTCCGTCACATCACTTACTTCATCTATTTCGGCTGCTGTTGAGATTTCTTCATCTCTATCTCCATCATCATCTCTGCCATTCAGTACACCCAAATACATTTCCGAAAGCTTTTTCTCTAACTCATCAAATGTTGGACGATTTTCACATTTGTTCCGTAGCTTTCGTTGGTTTTTCCAATCGGAAGCCTCTTCTTAAGTTTGATAATGAGATGGAACTTGGATCGCCTCCCTCTGAAAATATCTCCCAAATCACAACACCAAACGACCAAACATCCGATTTCACACTGAATTTCTGTTCTCTTTCTTCTGGATGTGATTCAACGGCCATCCATGGCACCGGGTCTGGCGCCTGTAAATAAGAAAAATAACAAAGCCAATTCGGATTCAAAGTCACTATTCATTTCTTGTCATTCATACCCATGATTCTTTGTTATAATAATGGCTTCCATTCAATCTCCTTGATAGACCGAAATCACCAATTTTAACCGTTTTATCTTCACAAAGCAAGATGTTTCTAGCGGCTAGATCACGATGTATGATCGGTGGATTATTCGAAGTCAAAAATTTCAGACCTTTTGCTACTTGGGTGGACCAATTATGCAGATTCGTTATTGTGTATGGGAAGTCGGGTGTTAGAGGTGAACTAAAAGATGTGTCAGCAGTATTTTCTCCTGAATTGAAGCTAATTGTAGTTAAGAAATTTTACCGAAAATGTTACAAAACCTACCTTCCACAAATACTGGAATAACTTTAACGCTATTATAACCTTTTCTTATATTTGCTGCTTGGCTTGCGCTTGGACATTGCCTATTTTTCTTCAAGAAACTTCTAAGATCACCATATCGGCAGAATTCATAAACGATCATTATTTCGCCTGCAAAAAATGCATTCATTCAATTGCTTTTCGAAAACATTTCGTATGTGCAATTTACCTTCGAGAGGATCCTTAGTGACTGCTCCAATAAAACTAACAACATTGGGATGTTTGGGCAAACGTCGCACAAGTTTTATTTCGTCGAATAGTTCAGTTGTTCCCTATTTAATAGAAATCCAAGATAAGTAATCAATAAGAGATGAACACTGAACCAAAACATACGATTGATGTTCCGTTGGAGCCTTTTATAGTTTTGATAACAACATCTTTCTTTTTGGAACATCCTATTATTGGCAAAAGTTCGCCCTTATACACTTCACTGAAATGGCCACGGCCGATCAAATCTCCTTTCTGCAGTCGATTGTGAAACTGAATTGAGGTGTGAATGTAATTTGCAACTAGTAAAATGGCAATGAAAACAAAGATAAGCAACACAGAAAGCCATGCAGGTGCTGTTGCTGATGCTGGAAAATAAGCAGAATCTGATTTTCAAAATGTTTTTTTCTACACAAAACATCTTTTAAGTGTAAATGTCAGCATTATTTGGGTGATGTACAAAGAATTGTACTCTGCACTTGTCCATCAATGAATATGAAAAAATAGTGGAAAAATCTGATTGAAATTTGGTGGAAATCAAAAATTAAACAATAAAACTTCAACCGAATTCAATATCACGGATAAGATACGCGTTTCAGAAATATTTTGATCATTCTTCATTTCACTCTGAAAATATACCGAATCCAGTTAGTTTTCAAACTGATGCTGTTCTCTGTGCTAACAACTTGTCATTTACCAACAAACTTCCAGACCTTCAATATAGTTCTGTGATGAACAAAATATGTCCTAATTTTCCAATTCGTTTTACCTTCGGGTGGAATAGGCACAGTTGTTGTTTGTTCCCATCTATTATTGGTTTTTTCGGCACGATTAGTAACATCTTGAGGGTGATCCACGAGTGCTTGCGTCGAGTTTCCATTACCCATAGGATTGATGACGGTTCTAATTTCAGTAAGCAATCGAACGATATCCGAATGTTCTAAATAGAAAATGGATTAATTGGACTTGAAATTCGAGCGATTGTTTCTGATTTGAAGGAAGAGTGCAGATAATTACTATTATGATTTGCATGTTGCAGTGGTGTCCTTCCCTCATTATCCATAAGATTGATTTGAGCCCCACGATTAATAAACACTTTAACAACATTCGCATGTCCTGAAATGCAAACAAAATTTCAAATATCTAAGAATTAATATCTTTCTCTTGTTTTTGCTTTATTTTTCTTTTCATTATATTTATAAAGTATCTTTTCATGAATACCATCCCCTTTGCAATGTATTGCTAAAAATTTGAAGAATTTAGACAATTACCTTCCATGGCTGCATAGTGCAGTGGTGTCATTCCATCATCGTCCTTAGCATCGATGTTAGCTTTATGATCGATAAGAACTTGAACAACATTCGTATGCCCCGAATCGGAAATGGATCAAAATCAAATGATTTTCTGCAATTCATAACAGGAATTTGGACAATTACCTTTCATGGCTGCATAGTGTAGTGGTGTTAATCTATCCTTGTTCATAGCATCGATGTTAGCTCTATGATCAATAAGCACCTGAACAACATTCGTATGCCCTGAATTGGAAACAAATCAAATTCAAACGACTGTTGGACGATTTGGAGCAGGAATTTGCACAATTACCTCGATCGGCTGCAGCGTGCAGTGGAGTACTTCCATATTGGATCTTAGCTTCAATGTCAGCTCCATGTATAATAAGTTTTTCAACGATATTTGCATTTCCTGAATTGGAAACGGATCAAAGTCAAATGATTGTTCGCGATTTATAGCAAAAATTCGGACAATCACCTTCTATAGCTGCCCAGTGTAGTGGCGTCAATCCACCATCGTCCCTAGCATCGATGTCGGCAGTATTATTAATATGCATTTGAACAATATTTGCATGTCCTGAAATCCAAACTCTACTTGAATATAAATTTGTCTTTTACGTACTATGCCAGTTAAATAATGAGATAGAAAAAATCTCAGAGAGTACATATTTGCTGCTGGACTGCTCAGATGTTATTGCTATCTGAAATTCACGGTGTTTATTAATTATATTAATATAGATATCATCTAGGAATGAAATCTTTTAAGCGTGAGTGCGGTAAAATACCGTTTTAGGCGCCTGAGTCAACAAATTCAGCTCAGCTCAGGCCTGCTCAGCAGCAAATATGCACTCTCTGAAAAATCTTCTTATTCTGACATAAAAAGCAAAACCTGTTATTTTAGAATAAGAAGTCTTTTTTAATTTAACTATTTGTTCACTTAAATAATCGCGGTGTCACGACAACAGAACACCTGCTTTCCTATGACTTTGGCATCAAATTGACATTTTTGTTCCAAATTAAAACAGTGAAATTTTGCCCCCATTTCTAATTAGTGTGTATAGCCAAAAAAAAATTTAAAAAAAGACACTCGTTTTTACTTTTCCGCACGCCCATGTCGTGTGTAAAAGTATTGTAATCACTCCAAAACCTAGGTACCCCAAAAAACCATTTTTCTATCCATTTTCGACACCGAAAAGCACGATACACTGGTTATTTTGCTATGTTAATGTGGGTGTATCGTACCCTGTACGCTGTACGCAAACATTTGTTAGCACGATTGCTCAAACACCAGAATAGGAAATTGTTAATGAAAGCAATGAATTAAAAACACTTTATTTTTTCTTTCTCA